ATGGTGCAGCTGTATAACTTTTTGAGGATCTGGGGACCCATGCCAAATCTTTTCACTCTCCTGAGGGGGAGAAGGTGTTGTCGTGCCCTCTTCACGACTTTCTTGGTGTGTTTGGACCATGATAGTTTGTTGGTGATGTGGACACCAAGAAACTTGAAACTCTCGACCCGCTCTACTTCAGCCCTTTCGATGTGAATGGGGGCGTGTTCGGCCCTCCTTTTCCTGTAGTCCACGATCATCTCCTTTGTCTTGCTCATGTTGAATGAGAGGTTGTTTTCCTGGCACCACACTGCCAGGTCTCTGACCGCCTCCCTATAGGCTGTTTCATCGTTGTCGGTGATCAGGCCTACCACCGTTGTGTCGTCAGCAAACTTAATGATGGTGTTGGAGTCGTGCTTGGCCACACAGTCGTGGGTGAACAGGGAGTACAGAAGGGGACTAAGCACGCACTCCTGAGGGGCCCCCGTGTTGAGGATCAGTCTGTCTAGTCATGGCATGTTGAACAGACATGAGGTTTCCAAGAATGTCCTGTAACCCAACACCCCCTCTTTCCTCTCCCTAAGGTCACAGTCAGTAATATCCCACTTCCCTCCCCTCTTTCCACTCTCCTCTGCTCTCACAGCCCACTGTCAGACCTGGCAGTCCATTAGACCAATCAGAAGGAATCACTTATAGGGAAGCATATCCTCTATTGTAGCCTGGTCCCTGATCTATTTGTGCTCTTGCCAACTCCATTGCTGTCATTTTGTTTGGCATGGCAATTCCATCATGAGTTGGCAAGAGAGCAGAAACAGACTAGCACCCAGGCTACCTCTATTGATATTTTGGTGGACATATCAAACAATCAAAAATGTAGTTTTTCAGAGACAGATCACAGGAAAAAATAGAAGGAAATAAAGACAAAGCTTGTAAAATATGAAAAGTCCCATGGTCGTCAGAGCTACGCCCCGGTACTAAACTGGATTTGCGCTTGACTTCCTCTGCAAAACTCCAGGGCTGCCCTGTTGATACTGGCTAACAGCTCATCTCAGGCCTAAATTAGGCACACTCACACTCACACTCACACTCACACTCACACTCACACTCACACCGACACTTACACTTACACTCACACTCACACAAACATGCCTAGGGGTCAATAATGTATTTTCTATTATCAACTCAAAATGTGGTTTGGCAGCCCTCAGCAGCACTCCCAAATGTGTCTACTGAGGACGGGGAAGGGAGAAGCATTACTATAATCTCTGTTCTGGAGTGAAAAATTACATTTAGTCCCTTTGGCTTGTTTCCATCAGGAAACTTGCATGTCATTTCCCCCTTATATACCTTTATTAAAAATCAAATCAAAGTTTATTGGTCCCATACACAGATTTGCAGATGTTAATGCAGGTGCAATGAAATGCTTGTGTTTCTAGCTCCAACAGTACAGTAATACCTAGCAATATAAAACAATACACACATAATCCAAAAATAAATAATAAAGAAATTAAGAAATGTCAGAACAAATCCAATTAACAACCCAAATAGCACTGTAACAGTAATCCAAACGCAATCTATATGTATCTACACTGGATTAATGTACACAAGATATATTAGGAATGATAGGTACAGCAGTAGATTTAACCTCCCGAGTGGCGCAGTGGTCTAAGTGGTCGCAGTGCTAACTGTGCCACTAGAGATCCTGGTTCGAATCCAGGCTCTGTCGTAGCCGGCCGCGACCGGGAGACATGGGGTGGCGCACAATTGGCCCAGCGTCGTCCAAGGTAGGGGAGGGTTTGGCCGGCAGGGATGGCGTTTGCAATGCCAGGGTTGTGGGTTCGATTCCCATGGGGGGCCAGTATGAAAAAAATAATGTATGCACTCACTAACTGTAAGTCGCTCTGGATAAGAGCGTCTGCTAAATGACTAAAATGTAAAATGTAGATTTCCAGTATTAGAGTGAGCTATGTCAAGAATCCAGCATATAAATAAATAAGCGGTGTGTATAAACAGTGTAACTAAAATGCAATGTACAATAGTAGAAATCTTAGAATGAGCTATGTTGACAATACAGTATATAAAAAAACACTATACAAAACCCCATAGCAAAATTGATAGAATTGCAGGAAATTATAAATAATATATATGTATGTGAATGGTGTGTATAGACAGTATGGACAGTATGTGAATAGAAAAGGTGTGTATAGCAGTAGTTACAGTGCATTCGGAAAGTATTCAGACCCCTTGACTTTTCGACATTCTGTTACGTTACAGCCTTATTCTAAAATTGATAAAATATAAACATTTTCTCATCAATTTTCTCACACAATACCCCATATGTCACGCTCTGGCTCCGGGACTTTGTATTTTGAGCCAGGGTGTGTTCGTTTGGTTGTGTTTTGTGTGGTTGGGTTGTCATTGGTTGTGTTTTCCTTGTTTGGTCAAGTGACTCCCAATCGGAGGTAACGAGTGTCAGCTGTCGGCTCGTTATCTCTGATTGGGAGCCATATTTAAACTGTCAGTGTTCACCTTAGTGTTGTGGGTTTTTGTTCCTTGTCAGTCATTGTAACTGAGGACTTCACGATTCGTCATTGTTTGTTGTTTTTGTAGTGAGTACTTTAATTTAATAAAGTCATGTTCGCTCAACGCGCTGCGCTTTGGTCTCCCTCATTAGACGATCGTGACAGAAAAACCCACCGTAAAAGGACCAAGCAGCGTGTCCAGGAGCAGGCAGCCTGGTCATGGGAGGAAGCGCCAGGAAAAGAGATGGAGAGGCTGGCGATGGCCCAGGTGGGCAAATCGTGGTCCTGGGAGGACATGCTCGGGGGCAAGGGACCTTGGGGGAGGATTAAGGCCCTGGCGAGAGAGGAGCAGCGGCGTCAGCAGTGCCATCGTCGGAAGGACGAGAGGCACCCCCAATAAATTTTTAGGGGGGGGCACACGGCATGGGCGACTGGGCAGCAGGAGGCTGCCACAGGGCATTTTGGAGAGGAGGCCACCGGGTTTTGGGGGCCAGAAGGCAGGTTGGCGAGGCCGGGATGGAGAGCGGAACCAACTTCCCGTGCTCAGGCATGGCAGCATGGGACGGGGCAGGTTCCGCGGTATGCGGAGCAGCGTACGGTGCCACGAGTGGTCCGGCACAGTCCTGTACGTCCTGTGCGAGCACCCCGCACGTGTCGTGCGAAGGGGGGTATGCAGCCAGGACGGAGTGTGCCGGCTCAACGCTCGTGGTCTCCTATGCCTCTCCGCGGTCCCGGATATCCTGCTCCAGTATCACGTGCTGTCATGTCGGTACGGGTACACAGCCCTGTACGTCCTGTGCGGATGCCTCACACAGAGTGTGTGAAGGTAGGCATTCAGCCGGGACGGGTTGTGGCCGCTCTTCATTCCAGGTCTCCTATCCGTCTCCACAGTCCGGTGAGGCCTGTCCCTGCTCCACGCACTAAGTTAATGGTGCGCGTCGCCAGCCCAGCCCGGCCTATCCCTGCTCCACGCACCAAGCCTACGGGGTGCGTTGCCAGCCCAGCCCGGCCTATCCCTGCTCCACGCACCAAGCCTACGGGGTGCGTTGCCAGCCCAGCCCGGCCTGTCCCTGCTCTACGCACAAAGCCTACGGTGTGCGTCGCCAGCCCAGCCCGGCCTGTTCCTGCTCTACGCACAAGGCCTACGGTGTGCGTTGCCAGCCCAGCCCGGCCTGTCCCTGCTCTACGCACAAAGCCTACGGTGTGCGTCGCCAGCCCAGCCCGGCCTGTTCCTGCTACTCGCACCAAGCCAAGGGTGCGAGTCGTCAGCCTGGTCCAGCCCGTTCCTGCTACTCGCACCAAGCCAAGGGTGCGAGTCGTCAGCCTGGTTCAGCTCGTCCCTGCTACTCGCACCAAGCCAAGGGTGCGAGCCGTCAGCCTGATCCAGCCCATTCCTGCTACTCGCACCAAGCCAGGGATGCGAGTCGTCAGCCTGGTGAGGCCCGTTCCGGCTCCACGCATCAAGCCTAGGGTGCGTATCGTCAGCCAGGTCCGGTCCGTTCCTGCCTCACGCGCCAAACCAGGGGTGCGCGTCGTCAGTCCAGATCCTACCAGCTGGGTCAGATCGGACCGGGGGCGCTACGGGGGGATTGAAGAAGGGTGGTGGTCAAGCCCGGAGCCGGAGCCGCCTCCGAGGAGTAATGCCCACCCAGCCCTCCCCTGTTTGGGGGTTTTTGAGGCGCGGTCGCAGTCCGCGCCTTTAGGGGGGGGTACTGTCACGCTCTGGCTCCGGGACTTTGTATTTTGAGCCAGGGTGTGTTCGTTTGGTTGTGTTTTGTGTGGTTGGGTTGTCATTGGTTGTGTTTTCCTTGTTTGGTCAAGTGACTCCCAATCGGAGGTAACGAGTGTCAGCTGTCGGCTCGTTATCTCTGATTGGGAGCCATATTTAAACTGTCAGTGTTCACCTTAGTGTTGTGGGTTTTTGTTCCTTGTCAGTCATTGTAACTGAGGACTTCACGATTCGTCATTGTTTGTTGTTTTTGTAGTGAGTACTTTAATTTAATAAAGTCATGTTCGCTCAACGCGCTGCGCTTTGGTCTCCCTCATTAGACGATCGTGACACCATAATGACGATGCAAACACAGGTTTTTAGAAATTTTGCAAATGTTTAAAAAATAAACAACATAAATACCTTATTTACATAAGTATTCAGACCCTTTGCTATGAGACTCGAAATTGAGCTCAGGTGAATCCTGTTTCCATTGATCATCCTTTGGAGTCCACCTGTGGTAAATTCAATTGATTGGACATGATTTAGAAAGGCACACACCTGTTTATATAAGGTCCCACAGTTGACAGTGCATGTTAGAGCAAAAATCAAGCCATGAGGTCGAAGGAATTGTCCGTTGATCTGGGGAAGGGTACCAAAAAATGTCTGAGGTTGAAGAGGGGCTGTTGCACCTTCTTCACCACACTGTCTGTGTGAAGGGACCATTTCAGGTTGTCAGTGATGTGCACACCAAGGAACTTGAAGCTTTTGACCCTCTCCACTGTGGCCCTATCGGTGTGGATGGGGGCGTGCTCTCTCTGCTGTCTCCTGTAGTCCACGATCAGCTCCTTCGTTTTGTTGATTTTATTTTTATTTTTATTTCACCTTTATTTAACCAGGTAAACCAGTTGAGAACAAGTTCTCATTTACAACTGCGACCTGGCCAAGATAAAGCAAAGCAGTGCGATAAAAACAACAACACAGAGTTACATATGGGGTAAAACAAAACAAAGTAAAAAATACAACAGAAATACATATAATATACAGTGTGTGCAAATTTAGCAAGTTATGGAGGTAAGGCAATAAAATAGGCTATAGTGCAAAATAATTACAATTGGTATTAACACTGGAATGCTAGATGTGCAAGAGATGATGTGCAAATAGAGATACTGGGGTACAAATGAGCAAAATAAATAACAATATAGGGATGAGGTAGTTGGGCGGGCTAATTTCAGATGGGCTGTGTACAGGTGCAGTGACAACTGATGCTTAAAGTTAGTGAGGGAGATAAGTGTCTCCAGCTTCAGAGATTTTTGCAATTTGTTCCAGTCATTGGCAGCAGAGAACTGGAAGGAATTGCAGCCAAAGGAGGTGTTGGCTTTGGGGATGACCAGTGAGATATACCCGCTGGAGCGCATACTACGGGTGGGTGTTGCTATGGTGACCAATGAGCTAAGATAAGGCGGGGATTTGCCTAGCAGTGATTTATAGATGGCCTGGAGCCAGTGGGTTTGGCGACGAATATGTAGTGAGGACCAGCCAACAAGAGCGTACAGGTCACAGTGGTGGGTATTATATGGGGCTTTGGAGACAAAACGGATGGCACTGTGATAGACTACATCCAATTTGCTGAGTAGAGTGTTGGAGGCTATTTTGTAAATGACATCGCCGAAGTCAAGGATCGGTAGGATAGTCAGTTTTACGAGGGCATGTTTGGCAGCCCTCGTAACTTTGGATTGGAGATTCTTAATGTGAGTCTGGAAGGAGAGTTTACAGTCTAACCAGACACCTAGATATTTGTAGTTGTCCACATACTCTAGGTCAGACCCGTCGAGAGTAGTGATTCTAGTCGGGTGGGCGGGTGCCAGCAGCGTTCGATTGAAAAGCATGCATTTAGTTTTACTAGTGTTTAAGAGCAGTTGGAGGCTACTGAAGGAGTGTTGTATGGAATTGAAGCTCGTTTGGAGGTTTGTTAACACAGTGTCCAATGAAGGGCCAGATGTATACAAAATGGGCCCTGAGCTTTTTAGTGATGAGCTTGGAGGGCACTATGATGTTGAAGGCTGAGCTGTAGTCGATGAAAAGCATTCTTACATCCAGGTGGGATAGGAAGGTGTTCAGTGCAATGGCAATTGCATTGTCTGTGGATCTGTTAATAGATAGTGAATAAATCACTATATTACCTAGAATCTAGACCAATGAAATACAAGTGAAATACAACTGCAGGCTGGCAGGATTGTCAAATCAGGCATCATGTTTTTCCCTCACATGGGTTTACTGTTTAGACAGAGAGGGTAGACCACTGGCTATGGCCTCCTTTATGTTCACTGCTTCATGCAAAACAGCGGGAGAGCTGGGCCACTGGATCCTGCAAGACACAATGCAAATGTGAGGAGAGAGGAGGAACGAGAAAGACATCACTGGTACACAGCAGAGACGGACAGACACACAGTGGCCAGTTTATTACATTTACATTTACATTTACATTTACGTCATTTAGCAGACGCTCTTATCCAGAGCGACTTACAAATAGGTGCATTCACCTTATAGCCAGTGGGATAACCACTTTACAATTTTTTATTTTTTTTTGGACATACTTTACTGGGAACTTGGGAAGGTTGAACACCAGACGGGCTGCGGCATTCTGGATGAGTTGTAGGGGTTTAATGTCACAGGCAGGGAGCCCAGCCAACAGCGAGTTGCAGTAATCCAGACGGGAGATGACAAGTGCCTGGATTAGGACCTGTGCCGCTTCCTGTGTAAGGCAGGGTCGTACTCTCCGAACCTACGACCCTGTAAGGCAGGGTCGTACTCTCTCTCTCTTATTAGTTACACCCATCTAGTACCGGGTCGAACCCACCTTTGCCTCTAGAATAGCCTTAATTTTCCCAGCATGGATTCTACAAGGTGTTGCGTTCAAACGTTGCTCAATTGGTATCAAGGGACCTAACGTGTACCAGGAAAACATTCCCCACGCCATTACACCACCGCCACCAGCCTGTACCGTTGACACCAGGCAAGATGGAGTCATGGACTGATGCTGCTTATGCCAAATCCTGACTCTGCCAACAGGTACCGTGATTCGTCGGACTAGGCAATGTTTTTCCACTCCTCAATTGTCCAGTGTTGGTGATCGCGTGCTCACTGGAGCCGCTTCTTCTTGTTTTTAGCTGATAGGAGTGGAACCCTGCTGCAATAGCCCATCCATGACAAGGAACGATGAGTTGTGCGTTCCGAGATGTCGTTTTGCACACCACTGTTGTACTGTGCCGTTATTTGCCTGTTTGTGGCCCGCCTGTTAGCCTGCACAATTCTTGCCATTCTCCTTCAACCTCTCTCATCAACAAGCTGTTTTCGCCCACAGGACGGCCGCTGACTGGATGTTTTTTGTTTGTCGCACCATTCTCTGTAAACCGTAGACACTGTCGAGCGTGAAAAGGCCAGGATGCCAGCCATTTCTGAGATACTGGAACCGGCGCGCCTGGCACCGACGATCATACCACGCTCAACGTCGCTTAGGTCACTCGTTTTGCCCATTTTAACGTTCAATCGAACAGTAACTGCCTGGATGCTTGTCTGCCTGCTTTATATAGCAAGCCACGGCCACGTGACTCACTGTCTGTAGGAGCGAACCATTTTCATGAACGGGATGGTGTACCTAATAAACTGGCTACTGAGTGTAGAATTAGCTATTGCCTACAGATTACAGTAATAATTATCCACTGAATGGTAGCAGGACACAAATTTAGCAGGACACAAATTACCACCACCATCACTAATTCTCTCTCTCTCCCCCTCCTCTCTCCCTCTCTGTTGGTCCCTCTCTCAGGTGACGTCCCAGCGGATGCAGGGTGTGTTGCTGCTGGTGTTTGCTAAGTACTACCACCTCCCCTTCCTTCGAGGGGTGCAGACAGAGACCACCCGCACTGGCCTGGGGGGCTACTGGGTGAGACAACTGCCTGTCGAGACTATATCCTACTGACCAACTGACGGAGAACCACAACCAACTGACAGAACTGACCCATCCTACTGACCAACTGACAGAGAAGCACACCTAAATGACAGAACTGACCCAACTGATAGAGAACCACAGTCAAACAGCCACACTAATGAAGACCCATTACTCTAGGATAGAGACAGTAAAATGGCATGCCAGCATTATTGAACTGAAGTTCACATTCAGAACTGACCCAACCTTAAAACCTCCACACATAGTCTAAGGACAGCCAGACAGTGCTAATGATGAAAAACTACCTGCCTCCAGGTTTGCTTCTGTTGGCCTCTCTGTTTCCCTTACTGCTCATTAATTAGCAGGAAGGGTTTAGCAGGAAGGGTTTTGGGGGGCAGGCTGTACCCAAAGCTTGTGTTGATATCTGTGCTGCCTCCATACCTCTGATGTCCAGAAGGTGGTGCTTTAGTATTTCCAAAGATAATGTTTTTATGGTTCACAGCCTTAAACACTCCCCAGATAATTTATTTAGATATGTAAACATGAAAAAACATGTTTTATTGTATCTACTCTTTAAGAAGTTAAAATAATCAGTTGTATAATAATCAGAAGTACCCTTTAAGGCTAATGAAAGCCCAAGCAGTTGATCAAAGTGTGCAGGCAGGGGGATCTGTCTGCCTGTCTTACATTTACATTTTAGTCATTTAGCAGACGCTCTTATCAAGAGCGACTTACAGTTAGTGAATGGATACATGTTTTTTTGTTTGTTTTGTTTTTTGTGTTTATTTCATACTGGCCCCCGTGGGAAACGAACCCACATCCCTGCCGGCCAAACCCTCCCCTACCTTGGACGACGCCAAACCCTCCCCCATGCCTTAGACCACTGCGCCACTCGGGAGACCTACTCGGGAGTCTTACTGAGGGATACATAGAGTTCCATGTAGTAATGCACTGTGAAGTATTTCTATTGTCCTCCCTGTATGAACTCAGATAAGCATCAGCACATTCTGCAGTTCTCCCTCTGCTGTGTCATCTCTTGTATTTTAGTAGGTCAGAGCTGTAGAGGGAGAGCAGCAGGAAGAACCACACGGCTCCATCCTGCCTTCATTCACACAGAGCACTGCACATTAAATATTGATAATGTCATTCACTAGTCATAAATGTATCCGCAAACTTCCTGCCTTCAGATATGTTTACGCACCGGGGGTGGTATCTCATAGGCTAGGCTACTATTCATACTATTTATTCTCTCGGTTTGCAAATGGAATGTTTTATCCCATCATAATAATCCTGCCATTCTTCTGCTCCAGTCCCCAATCTTCAACCTTATTCTTTTTCTCTCTTTTTCTCTCACTCTACCCCTTCCTTTATTCTCTCTCTCCCTCTCCTTGTTCTTGTTCTAGGGTAATAAAGGGGGTGTGAGTGCGCGCATGTCTGTGTTTGGTCACACCATCTGTTTCCTGAACTGCCACCTGCCGGCCCACATGGAGAACTCGGAGCAGCGCATGGAGGACTTTGAGAGCATCCTGCAGCAGCAGCAGTTTGAAGGCCAGGCTGCCACAGGGGTGCTCGACCACGAGTTAGTCACTATACATATGAATGCACACACCCACCCACTTAAGTTTCCATCCAGGCACTTGCACAAATAAACAAACACATAAGAAAGCATACTCAAAGCAGTCCACCCTCCCTTTTATCCAGCAGATATAGAGGGTATAGTTACGGTTACACTAAAGAGGTACCTCATTTTTCCATCGATATACCTAAACAATAGATTTTGTGTGATTTAGAGGACATACCTTAAAAGGCATCTTTGCCGTTCCGCTCTGTCCTCAGTCCACTCCATACTATTCTCCTCCTCTACAGTGTGGTGTTCTGGTTTGGAGATCTGAATTTCCGCATTGATGAACTGGAGATTCCAGCAGTGAAAACAGCCATTGATAACAACAAACTCACCATGCTGTGGGAGAAAGACCAGGTGAGATGCCTGTTCAAGATAGCCCCATGTAGCTCAGTTGGTAGAGCATGGCGCTTGCAACGCCAGGGTTGTGGGTTCGTTTCCCACGGGGGGCCAGTATGAAAAAATGCATGCACTCACTAACTGTAAATTGCTCTGAATAAGAGCGTCTGCTAAATGACAAAAATGTAAATGTAAGATAAAGGCCCATTATATGGTTTTTAATTGAGCATGTAATGCATTGAGGATGCCACTAGAGGGCATACAGAGACCAAAATAACAGACACTTTAACATTCTTCACTGTTATCGCCCATTCTACAGCTGAACATGGCCAAAGACAGCGAGATGGTGCTGGAGGGCTTTCTGGAGGGACCTCTCAAGTTCCCCCCCACTTACAAGTTTGACGTGGGGACAAATACATACGATACAAGGTTTGTGGTGACATGGGGGGTCCACCTTGCACCTCTTTAATGAGATGAGTGTTCTGATCATCACAGTTCTTACCCCCCCCCTGCTCTCTCTCTCTCAATCTATCTCTCTATCTTGCTATCTTTCTCAGTGGGAAGAAGCGTAAGCCTGCGTGGACAGACAGGATCCTGTGGCGTCTGAGGGCCACAGCTCCCCTTGGGCCGGCCTCTAATGCTGGGAAGAGAGGCTCTATGTCAGGGCTGAGCAGCGGGACCAAGGTCACCCAGCACTTCTACCGCAGTCACATGGAGTACATGGTCAGCGACCACAAGCCTGTCTCTTCCATCTTCACCCTGCAGGTGAGACACAGCCCCTCTCCCTCTCTTTCCACCCCCATGTCCTACTTGTCACCTGAGTTGTGACATGCACATAACTGTGCCCAAAACGCCCTCTGCAACCTGTAATAAACTGGGATAACCATGGTTGTAACAGATACAGATACAGACTGTACTTTGATGTTGTATTATCTCAGAGAGATGTTGATGTTGTGTTCTATTGATTATCTATCATGATGATATTGACCTCCAGAATGCTGTGTGTAGTTCCCCTATAAGGTGGACATGCCCCTGGTGACGATCATGGTGGAGGATGAGTGGAACAGCATTGCAGACGCCACCTGCACATTCAAAGCTGCACCTCATTTCGCACGCAGCTCCTGGGACTGGATTGGGCTGTACAAGGTACTCACTCTTCCTCTTAACCTTCTAGTGCTGATTTTAATGTTTAATGAAGTTTGAAGTAACCCAGATAATGTGTATTGATAAAGTAATAATTAGCTAAGACATTCAGTCTTTTAAAATCAGGAATTGGTGGTGCCTTTGCCTCCCCAGGTGGGATTCAAACACCATAAGGACTATGTAGGCTATGTGTGGGCCAAGCAGGAGGAGGCAGATTACCATAGAGTAGAACACGAGGTAAGGGCCACTTTTAATAACACACATAAATGAATTGGAGAACCTTGTCATGGTATCTTTGTGTGTTTTGACTTTTCTTCCTGTCTTTACCTCTGCAGGTGACCTTTACTGAGGAAGAGTTGCCCAAGGGCTCAGGAGACTTCATTTTGTGTTACTATAGCAACAACACGAGCACCCTCGTGGGTGTGACAGAGCCTTTTCAGGTACTTACAATGATGGTGTCTGGTTTCTATGGTAAATATATCAAATGTTGAGGTATAATGGGAGCATTGAAGAATAATGGGATTATAATTTAACTTTGGTTCTTCTACACCCTTCCCCCCTCCTTCGCCTGTTCTTCATTTTGATCTACACCCTTTTCCTGTGCTACTTCCTTATGCTCTTTCTCTATGTCTTCCTCCTCTCCTCCTCCACCTCCTTTCCCTCTTCTCTCTTCTGCAGATCCAGCTGCCCACCTCCAGCCCCGCCGGTAGCCCCTCTGACGACAGTTCTGACTTCACCTCTGAGGATGACAGCACAGTGGTCGGTATGAAGAACAAGTCCTGCAGTCCCAGCCCCCGGAAAAAGAAGCACAGAACCCGACATAGCCATAGCCGCAGTCCTAGCCACAGCCGTAGCCGCAGTGGCAGCCCTGCTCTGCCCGAAATGAAGGGCCTCAAGCTGCAGCCTGGCTCGGCCCACAACACCGCTGATGGCTCTGTCTCTGGCAACGCCCCAGAGGGTACGGATGGGGAGAAGGAGAAGGCCTCAGCTGAGGCTGGGAATACAGGGTTGTGATGGAGCCCCTGTTATCCTGCTCTCACATAACCAACTCTGTGTGGTTTCTTTATCTATGATGCACTGTACTGTATTGTATGTTTCCTTTACTGAAAATTTACATTTTCGGGTGCCATTTGTTTCAGGACTGGGGTTAGGCTTCTGGTGCAGGAAGACTACTTTGTCTTGTGTGATTTTTCTTAACCTGTTTTCAAATGTATATCTCTCTGTAGGTTCTCTCATTCCTCTCTCACACTCTGTCACTCTTCCCTCTCAGGCGTAGAAAATACAGGGAGCTTTTGGCTGATTTGAATAGGTCCTTACATGGCAAATCATTACCAAATCCCAGGCAGAGGCAAATGGCCACCAAATGCATTTTGGGTCCATATCGGCAGTTGTTTCACAGATATTTTGAAGCAGCATAATATTTGCCCCCCTATATCAGCCCTGGTGGCTTAGTCAGCAGATTAGCATGTGTGTGAGCATGAGGAAATGGTGTCTCCTAATGAGGTGAACGATTAGTTTGACTCCCAAAGGGAACATTGCTCGCAAATAGGAATAATCCCTATTTGCTTTAGCAAGTCCTGTCCTACATTTCAATACTGCATTGTGTCTACTGCTACATACATTCTATAAGGGACCCGGCCGGTTACCATGGAAAAATCCAACAACCCCTTGTGAGTTGTGAGCTCTCCTCTGAGCGGAAGGTCTTTTTTGTAAAACTATCCTGAGGCCTGACTGCATGGGTCACTTAAATGCCATGATGAAAAAATAAGGTAAAAAATGGCAATGTTCACCTTTAGGGTACTGGTGTTTCCAGTTCTCCTCTTTCCTTCCCTCCTCACCTCTCGCTCTCTCTCTCTTTCTCTCTCTCTCTCTCTCTCTCTCTCTCTCTCTCTCTCTCTCTCTCTCTCTCTCTCTCTCTCTCTCTCTCTCTCTCTCTTTCTCTCTCTCTCTCTCTCTCTCTGTCTCTGTCTCTCTCTCCTTATGTCCCCTCTCTCCCCTTTTCTCTTTTGGTGATGGTGATTAGCTGACACTGTTCTGTCACTAGTAGTAATGTGTTGGATTGTTAGCTTGTGACCTCCAATGAGCCATCCTAAACACTTTGTACCTATGGGCTGTTAGCTTAGGACAGTGTGTGCTGTTGTACTGTAACCTCATTGTGTGTGTTCATGTATGTATGCCACCGTATGAGTGTGTTTTTATGTAAGGGCGTGTGTGTGTGTTTGGGTTTGCAGAAGTGAGTGTGTAATTGTGTATGATTGATAGTGATGTGTGTATGTGCTTGCATGGTTTTCTGGACTGTAAACATTCCGGTACTGTGATTTTGTGCCGTTAAAAGTGCTGTTTTTGACTCCTCTTTGTAAGATACTTGGCTGTTTAGAAGTGTTAGAAACACATGGGATGATGACCGTGTAAACACAACATTATATGGTAGATATAGCTACATAATGAAAATTAAAGACTGAATCAGTTTGCTTGCAGAACAACAAGAAATACTTTATTTATTTTATTCAATTTCTTCATCCTATTTAAAATATACAAAATACACTAGATAGTTTGAAGCTCATCCAAGGTAAAGGATCAGTGCTGCATATGTGCAAGTGAACTTGGCTTTTTTGTTGTTATGTATTGATTATGTGTATCAATCAATATAACTGAATTGATCCAAAGTACGGTTCTAGAAAAGGTGATAAGGAAAGACTAGATCTGAAAATCAATTTCAATTGTCCTTTGTCGTTTTAGTATTTGGCAACGTCTCGCTCCCATACTGTACGTGCAATGACAAATATGTGAATAGTAACTAAGGAATGATATTGAAAGCTTATAATGTGTTTAAAACAGATGAGAGTAGGTTATGTATGTAAATGACAAATATCAAATAGAGAACAGATAACAATCATTGCCAAAAAATATTATTATACTTAAACATGATGTATTTATTTTCTTATTTTATTGTGTCAAAAGATAATTCTGCTGGCCAGTGTGGGTGAAAAGGGTTTAAAGTTAAAGTTATATTCCATTTAATTTAATAGGCTATATTGTGTATACATATTTGTTTTATATTTATTTTACTTTTATATGTATTCATGCACACAACAGTTTTATGTGGAGGCAAAAATAAACCTATTTTTGTTTGTTTTATCTGTGATTTCAGATCAAAAGTAGATTTTGTGCATTGTATTGGCTCTGCAAGCTTGTATGTGACTGGGATCCAAGGTGACTGTCTTAAAACATCTGGACAACATTACAGCAACATTGTCAGAGGCATGAATTGGCTAGTTGTTGAATGTTGATGTTGGAGGGTGGTGTGTGGACTCGTCCGCTGGGGTCAGGGGGTCACCTCTGCCTTCCAGCTCAACACCTCTGTCACACACACACGCTGTTCAGAAAAAGAATTAAACTCCTCTTCAAGCTGTACAGCTGGTTTGCTCTCTGAGTCTTTCTTGTTTTCAGTCGGCCAGATCAAATAACATTGACCATTCTGATAAGGAACTAATTATATTGCACTACGTTAATGTTGTTGCAGTGTATTGTAAGTGCTCTCTTATAAAACATACAGTGCTATGAAAAAGTATTTGCCACCTTTCTAATTTTCTCTACTTTTGCATATTTGTGATACTGAATGTTATCAGATCTTCAACCAAAACCTAATATTAGATAAAGGGAACATAAGTGAACAAATAACACAACAATTACATATTTATTTCATTTCTTTCATAAACAAAGTTTCTTTCATAAACAAAGTTATGCAACACCCAATTCCCCTGTGTGAAAAAGTAATTGCCCCCTTACACTCAATAACTGGTTGTGCCACCTTTAGCTGCAATGACTCCAACCAAATGCTTCCTGTAGTTGTTGGATCAGTCTCTCACGTCGCTGTGGAGGAATTTTGGCCCACTCTTCCATGCAGAACTGCTTTAACTCAGTGACGTGTGGGTTTTCAAGCATGAACTGCTCGTTTCAAGTCCTGCCACATCATCTCAATTGGGATTAGGTCTGGACTTTGACTAGGCCATTCCAAAACTTCCAATTTGTTGCTTTTTAGCCATTTTCATGTAGACTTGATTGTGTGTTTTGGATCATTGTCTTGGTGCATGACCCAGCTGCGCTTCAGCTTCAGCTCACAGACGGATGGTCTGACATTCTCCTGTAGAATTCTCTGATACAGAGCAGAATTCATGGTTCCTTCTATTAAGGCAAGTCGTCCAGGTCCTGAGGCAGCAAAGCATCCCCAAACCATCACACCACCACCACCATGCTTGACCTTTGGTATGATGTTCTTACTGTGGAATGCAGTGTTTGGTTTTTGCCAGGCATAATGGGACCCATCTCGTCCAAAAAGTTGACTCAAGTTTGCCAAAAAGCACCTGGATGATCATCAAGACTCTTGGAAGAACGTTCTATGGACAGAGGATTCAAAAGTATAACTTTTTGGACGACATGGTTCCAGTAATGCCTGGCCTAAAGCAACACACGAGTGGTTTAAGGAGAAACATTTCAATGTCTTGGAATGGCCTAGTCAAAGCCCAGACCTCAATCCAATTGAGAATATGTGGTATGACTTAAAGATTGTTGTACACCAGCGGAACCCATCCAACTTGAAGGAGCTGGAGCAGTTTTGCCTTGAAGAATGGGCAAAAATCCCAGTTATGCACGCTCAAGTTTTCTGTTTTCTTATTTCTTGTTTGTTTCACCCCCAAAAATATTTTGCATCTTCAAAGTGGTAGGCATGTGTAAATCAAATGATACAAACCCCCAAAAAATCAGGATGTAAGGCAACAAAATAGGAAAAATGCCAATGGGGGTGAATACTTTCGCAAGCCACTGTACAAATGCCATTTGAAAATAATCCTGCAGCAACAGGAAATGTGAATTGATATGTGGATTATTGAATGGACTTTTTTTGTAGCGGTTGATACATTTTTCGTTAGGGCAAATCAAGTCTGAAATTTGAACGTGGAAATTACAAACTTTAGCCTTTTTAAACCTTGAATACACTACCAGTTTGCATTTTCTGCTGTGCAGAAACATTACTACAACAACAGGATGATCAAATGAAGATATGGCATCTGTAAGGGGCAAGCCAGGGCCACCAGTCAATAAGCACTCTGATAGCACTCTGATAGCACTCTGATAGCACTGGTGATGAAACAGACTACATGGCACTTTATATGGCCTTTAAGTTAATGGTTTATGCAACACTCATAGTTGAACGACCTAAGGGCAGATATGCTCACTGCAACAACTTCCATTATTATCAATTCACTTATGCAAGCTCATGAAACTCCCTTTAAACGTTTGTGTAAAACCTGGTATGGTTGGAATCTTGGCCCTCTCACCCCTAAGGGAGGGCAGCTCCCGCTCAGCCCAGTCAAAGCTCTTCTCTGTCCTAGTACCCCAATGGTCGAACCAGCTTCCTCCTGAATCTAGGACAGCAGAGTTCCTGCCCATCTTCCGAAAACATCTGAAACCCTACCTCTTCAAAGACTATCTTAAATAATCCCACAGCACCCCAACACAACCAGATACAGTTGAAGTCAGAAGTTTACATACACTTAGGTTGGAGTCATTAAAACTAGTTTTTCAATCACTCCACACATTTCTTGTTAACAAACTATAATTTTGGCAAGTCGGTTAGGACATCTACTTTGCGCATGACACAAGTAATTTTTCCAACAATTGTTTACAGACAGATTATTTCACTTATAATTCACTGTATCACAATTCCAGTGGGTCAGAAGTTTACATACACTAAGTTGACTGTGCCTTTAAACAGCTTGGAAAATTCCAGAAAATTATGTCATGGCTTTAGAAGCTTCTGATAGGCTAATTGACATCATTTGAGTCAATTGGAGGTGTACCTGTGGATGTATTTCAAGGCCTACCTTCAAACTCAGTGCCTCTTTGCTTGACATCATGGGAAAATCAAAATAAATCAGCCAAGACCTCAGAAAAAAAATTGTAGACCTCCACAAGTCTGGTTCATCCTTGGGAGCAATTTCCAAATGCCTGAAGGT